ACCAGATGGTTGAGAGCCCGCATCGGCACTTAGACGCTCCTCGTCCACAGAAGTGCGATAATCCGCAGTATTCTCCATCTCAATCTCAAAAGCCTCCACCACTCTTAGATCAACCCCGGGAGATGTGTCCTCGTCGTCAAAAGGCCAGTCGGATTCGTTCAGCGAAGCTGTTAAGTCAATTGGAGAGGGGACGCTACGGCCGTCAGGGAACGGCATAACAACTATCGCTACGTCCTAAGGGTAGTTTTCGGATCAAAGTGACTTCCCTAAAGAACACTAGATCTAACACCCTAAGGAGCAGAATATGAAGAAATCAAAGAAAAATTAAGTATCTAACCTTCAAAGATTCGAAGAATGTGACGAACACTTGGAAATTCTCAGAGCTTTCTCTCTCTAGAAGGACTTGGGCAGCAATTCGACAAACAGCAAAGGCGCAAATGAGGAAGTGGCTTCGGAATAGGGGGTATTTATAGAAAACTTCCAAACGGTCACTACACGTGGCGCCATCCCATTGGCTCCACCAACGGCCACCTCTCTTCCAACCAATCAAGGGGCGCCAATTCAAAATCACTCAAAAAGGCATCGCTACGGCCCAACTCAACCTTACAAAGGAAAGGTATCGGCTGGATACCGCTACGGCCCAATTACTACAAAGCTCCAGAACAGGCATCGGCCCATCCTCCCGAAAAAGGAACGCATCGGCCTAAACTCAACGTCCTCACAGCAACCCAAGGAACCTTAATAGACCGCTACGGCCGCTTGTGCGCGCATCGTCGATGATAACCCTGGCGTTGCGGCCTTCGTCCAAGGGTTCTCCCACAGGGTTACCTTGGACAGGTTCGCCTAAGGGTTGGAGTCACGACTAACGCATAGGTACCGGATCGGCTCATTACTCCCTTGTGCCTCAGATGCTCTTCGGCCAAAGGAGTGGGGGACTGGGGGTCTGTACCGGAAACAAGAAAAGGAAGCGCAACGGCCTTAATACAAAAGGGTGCGCTACGGCTTGCCGACAACAAAAGAACTGGAGATCGCATCGGCTACAGAGCCCAGGAATTAGAACCCCAAGATAAAAAAATCTAGCACAACGGCTACGTACACTGAGAGGGCCGCATCGTCTCACCATAACAAAAACTCACAAGTCAAAACGCTTCGGCCGCATAACAAAACAAAGGTGCGCATCGGATCGTCTACATAAACAGAATCAACCATCTTCATCTCATGAAAATAGGTCCTCGCTACGGCCAAAAGGATAGATGGGAGCTCTGCAACCACAACAAGATGACAATAAAAGCATGTCAACTTGTCCACACCAAAATTCATCACATCTACAAAAAAGAAAGCGCATCGCCTCGTCTTCAAAGGCACTTCCACAGAGTGTGCATCGGCCCACATCAAGGCTATGAGTTCCCAAGCACGCTTCATCTACATCAAATAAGGGAACCGCTTCATCAAAAAATCAAAGCAGGAACTCTTCGGCCATCAAACGCCTTAGACTCACACAACGGCCAGCCAGAAAGGAACAAGTACTCCCTTTCGCTTCGGTTTCACCTCAGCTCAGAGAGTGGGGGACTCCTGATAGAGTATATGGGCCTGGACCCCATGGCCCACATACTCAACGGCCCAAAAGACACCAGCGGGACACCCGCATCGCCCAGAGGCACGTAGCGTCCAAGAGAGAAGATATCGCCTGATTTCTATGGACCGCATCGTCCATGGACCGCGTCGTCCATGGACCGCGTCGTCCATGGACCGCGTCGTCCATGGACCGCATCGTCCATGGACCGCATCGTCCGGACTTCGTCCGGGCAGAATGTATTTTCCTATTTTTTGTACTAAGTGTTGTACTCAGCCCATTAGTGGCCTTATTCGCCCAAAGAAGGCATGATTATTGTAATGGGCCTCCTAAGCCCAAGGCTAGGGGCCCAAATCTACATTTTTACCTATAAATAGACCCCAAGGGGCTAATTATGGGGGATTCTTTTCCAGATTGAGAAATATAATTACTCACTTTCTCTCTCTAGCTCTCACTTCTCTCTAGAATTAATACTCTATCATATATATATATATATATATATATATATATATATATATATATATATATATATATATATATATATATATATATATATATATATATATGCTCCGGACACATACTAAATAATCAAGCATTGCTAGTAATATTATTTCTGCATTGCTCTTCCAATCTTCTCTCATCCATTGTTAGTAATATTATTTCATCCTTAATTTATATTTTCGTCAGGGCTCACTAAACTGTCTGTGCTTCTTTGTTATGAAGCAGCGGTCAGTCCATGCAATTTTGGACGCGATTTTCACTATGAGTCATCCGGAAACAGTCTCTCTGTGCTTTAGTACAGGGGTAAGACTGCGTTCATCCGACCCCCCTTACCGCACCGTAGGTGGGAGCCTTTGCGGCACTGGGGTAAATGAAAATGATGAAATGGAATGAGTAATTAGGTTATGTATGCAATATAAATGTATTAGCTCCAGGGATATACCTAGTTTGTTATCCGAATGCGTTTTATTCATTGTAAATTGTAATCTAAAGTTTGTTACTTGTGATCACTTTAACATATTACATGAATTTTTTTTTTTTTGAATATTTTTTGGACAAAATAAGTGTTTGAAATGTACGCAACATTAATACTTAGTTGACCAGATGATTAAGCAATTCAAGTTTCATAATATACAGATTTGTTTTTGGATGAAAGAGTTTAAATTGATAACATATCATTTAGATAGTAGGTAACACGACAAAGAGACCCTTGAAAATCGTCGTCCCTCAAATCGGAGTTAATCACCTCAGTAATATAACTCGTTGATCCACTATTGGGCACAAATGAGCCGAAGACGGTAATCGCAGTCAATTTATCACCAACATCTAAATTCAAAACCATTGTCTTACAACAGAAAAAAAAACAAACAAACACAAACTGACAACATCCAACCATTAAAATAAATATAAACAAAGTAGTAAAAGTCTTCACTCAGTCTTCCATCAAGCATAAAACTCCAGCACCCTGTCTCTACCCTCTGCACTGCTACCAGTGGCAAGCTTACCCCTCCAAACCCACCTCCTCCCCGTTTTTTGTCTCGTCCAGTGCCATACTAACACCCACCTGTTTTGTTTTTTCCACCGCCTCTCAGATGCGTCTGCGCTTTTGTTCCCCCGCCGTCTCCTCGGTAACTCCCACAACCACATCTTTAATTGAGTTGCTGACTGAAGCCGTTGTATCCTCCTTCCCTCCTTTCATCCTTCCATATGATTTGTTTTCCTCCTTGCTCTGCGGGACCCGAACTTGAGGACCCTTCTACTAGCCATTTGCTTCCTCCTGTTGGGCTAGTCTTCACCCCGCTACCTGCTCTAAGAAATACACCAAATCTTTTCTCCAGCACTAAATCTTTTTCATACGCTGGCGTGCAGAATTTTTCAGAGTGGCCTATTACTCCACAGATAACAAAAATTTGGCAATTTCTCATACTTAAAATCTACCCATACACATTACCCAATACCTTCTTTTTCAAGGGTAGTGCCATTTTTCAGAGGCTTTTCCACGTTCATACAAACCCTAACTCGCAGAAGGACTCCCATTTTCCACCAATTGATTATTATCATAACTAATAAATCTTCCAATGAAATTGCCCACCCGTCGTGCAGTTCCTAAATTTATTAAACTATACGGGACATTGTGAACTTGCACCCAAAACTCTGCCTCATTCAAACAGATCTTATGTGGAATATCATTCGGTTTAATCTCTTTCAGTATCAGCAAATTCCTCTCAAACTGTCATGGCCACCATCAAGCACACACGATTCAAATCAACAGGATGATAAAAAGTAAAAAAGTACCTCTTCTCGCATATTTCCTTGATCTCTACACCCTTCCTCGGTCTCCATAACGATGTCATAAGCTCTTTGAACACCGGGAACTTTATTTTCCTGTCCGTTATCAACACACCCACCACTAGGTAACCTGGCCGAGCCTCAACATTCGGACTATCTTTGGTACCGGCCTTATCGAGATCCAGCTCCACCTCCTCCTCATCCATGTTCATCTTTGTGTACCGATCGACAATCGTTTCCATCCAAAACAAAGACCCCCCAAGGTTTGACGTAATGAAAGCCGGCTTCATCTTCTCCACGGACTCGATGCCTTGCTCCCGTGGCCTAGAATACCGACCGAGACCTCCTAGCCTTCCTCGTCTCCGACGTCGTTCTTCCGTACCCGAGAGAAAACCGATCGAGACCTCATCTCTTTCCTCGACTAAACAAAGACTGACGCTTCGTAAAAGAGACGTCCAAAGCAACAAAACCAAAGTCGCTGAACCGACACCGCTCCTCGTCGCAAGGATGACTGCGGACGATCGAAACCCTAGCGGCGGTCAAGCCCCAGAGAGCATCACTTCTTTTTTTCTTGTTTTTAATATAAAGATTTATTTAGAAAAGCTGAAGAGACTACCATTTACGCAATTACATAAAAAATATACTCCCTTCCTGTGTAAAATTTGAGTAAACTGGGCTTTTAAACGAAATAAAAAAGTAAAAATATAATTATGTGATTGACATTTATACGAAAGAGAATATGGAATAACACATATAGAATAGAATACTTAGTACTACGTATTTATCAGGGAGTAGTTTAAATTCTATACATAAAGAGAGTTGGTCTAATTTTGTACAAAAGAGATACTATTGTTTTTGGAGGATACAAAAACAAGATGATGAATGTTTTTAATGATAGTGATTAAAATTAGCTAAAAAATGATAGTAATTAAAATTTTAAACATATCATATCAGAATAAATTGAATAAAATCATATTAGGTTAGGACAATCTTACTGGAAATGAATAAACAGGGGGAAATGGAACATGCTTATGCGACCGTGAATAATTAAACAATACGCAGATAATGCTCACGAACTGCATGTATAATAACTGGAAAGTGTACACATGGCTTGTTAAATACTTAAATGTGTACAAATCTCGGGTAGAAATAGCTTTTTTCGTTATAAAAACCCAAGTAAAGCAAATCAAAACAAATACCACACCAGAATCGTGATTTACATTCCTTGCTTGTAGTCCAGGCAAAGCATTGAAAGTGACCACTGTCCTGGGCTCGCCGCAACTCGCGGCGCCTCATCAGTTAGTTAGTCATTTTCCGGCGCGGGCTGCTCTGAACACGATGCTCCCTTTCACAAGAGTATCGTCTTCTGATCATTTTTCATTAGCAAAGTCCCCAGCTTTTGTCAAATTCACCGCTTTCACCCTCTTATCCCTCTCCATCTTCTTCCTCGTTAGGTACTTCTCCGACCCATTTCCCAAATGGTCATCATCCTTTTCCAACCTCACCACCGCCCCCACGAAGAATTCGTCTGCAGACACGTATCAGCCGCCAGTTTCTCCTCCGCCTCTCCCGACGGTTTCTCTTCCGTCAGTAGCTCCTCCAGCTAGACCGACGAGGGATTTCTTGGAACGGACGGGAATTATCGACGAGAATGGCGTGATGGTGCTCGACTTTATCGTCGGGGATTACGACGAGTCTCTGTTAGGGACTGCGGTAAATGCGAGTTGGGGTGTAAGAGGAGCAGATAGGGATGAGACTAGAGGGTTTGTGAAGGGTAAAATTGGGAAATTTGGAGTTTGTGATCAGAGTTTGAGCCAGTACATTCCTTGTTTGGACAACATGCAACCTTTATCCCAGCTGAATTTGTCGGGGAGGCGTTGCCCGGAGACTGGAAAAGGGTTGGATTGTGTTGTGCCTAGGCCTAAAGGGTATACATTTCGAGTCCCATGGCCTAAAAGCAGAGATGAGGTACTGCATTGTGCAATAAAACTTGAACTTTTCAATAGTATTTCTTGATCCCTCCCTTTTTTTCTGAGCAGTTCCATCTCAGTCACTAGTGATTCTGAAATTTAAAATGGCCATTTCTTGTTCTCAACTAGTGATTTTAGAGTAGTCTCTGTTTGTCTGGTGACTGGTGGCAGACACATTCGGTTACTTTCTTTTGCTGCTTTACTTAGGCTCAGTTTGGACTTTGGAACCCGAGAATACTAGGTAAAGAAAAATAGGGAGAAGATATAGCAGAAATTTGGAAGCAGGAAAATGTATTGGAAAATAAAATATCAGTTCAACGTCAATGATTTTTAATTATACTCTTTGAATTTATTTGTATTGATTCATACTCCGAATATATAAGAGAGTATATAAAATTATACCCGGAGTATATACTAAGCCATCTAAACATATGCAAATTTTTTGAACATTAATCTTTGAATTTATTTGTATTGATTCATACTCCGTATATATCAGAGTATATAAAATTATACCCGGAGTATATACTAAGCCATCTAAACATATGCATTTCCCCAGGTAAATCTTTAAGAATACAAATTTTCTTGCCATTATCTTTCCTTCCCTTAGCGTTTGGTGAGATCGAAACCTAGCTTCAGAGAATACGTTTGGAATATCATGAAGTAGGTATCAGTGTATCACTATCTTCCACCATTTAAAGAACCATGTTTGACCAAGGTAGAACTGTCATAAATCGTTAATCACACTTGCAGTTAATAAATTTTTTATTTCCCTAAAATTTATCACATGTAAATTATCCTTGACTTTTTTCAACAAGTTACTTGAAAAACAAGTTTTTTTTCAAGCAACGTTGTTTCTTAGGAACAAAAGAGGTGTTTGAAACATGAGTCTTCTTTGAGAATTGAGACGGAGTGGGTACAGTCAGTATATTAATTTAGATTTGTATTTTTCATCGTCTTGAGTCTTGACAACACCTGGAAGCTACCTAAATAGTAATGTATGGATAAAACTTAAGGCCAGTTCATTTGGAATGAAATATCCTGGTCTGGTTTGAAGTTGTCTTGACTAGTTTATGTTAGTCTTGTTTGGACTGATCTAGTCCCATATTGTATTATGTGTATTTAATTATTACTTGAGTATGTTCTGGTCTAATTTAGTTTGGCACTGAAGTAAGTCAAAGTGAAGAGTTCTTCTCTAATGTTAATGTAGGTTTGGTATTCAAACATACCTCACACATCCTTGGTTGATGCCAATGGAGGGCAAATTTTGGTGTCAAAAAAGGAAAAAAAGTACATTTTTCCTGAAAGAGGTATGGAGCAATACTTGGACCAGATATCAACGGTATGCTGATTTTATGAGTACCCCCCATCTTTGCAGTATTTATTCACATGAATGTACTTGATTATTTTCCATTTGACTGCAGATGGTTCCAGAGATTTCCTTTGGGAAGAAAACACGAGTTGTTTTGGATATTGATTGTGGTGTGGGAAGCTTTGGTGCCTATTTGGCGAAGCGCAACGTAGTCACTCTCTCCATATCCCCAAGAAAAGATGCTAATGCTAACCAGATTCAATTTGCACTCGAACGTGGTGTCTCTGCCATGATTGCCGGGCTTGAAACACACCGTTTGATGTTTCCTAGTCAGGCATTTGAGTTGATACATTGTTCAAGATGCAGAGTCAACTGGACCGACAATGGTACATCCGTTGCATTCATGTCCTCACAATCTTAGTACCATGTTCATAGTAATGAAATCTTTGTTCTCTTTGGCTTCTGTGGTGAAGGGGGTGTTTTGCTTCTTGAGGTAAACAGATTGATGAGAGCTGGAGGTTACTTTGTTATGGCTCTACAGCAACCTGCTGACATGCCTGACAAACTAGAAAAAGGCAATCTTTATCTCTTTATAATGTTTTTCACTTAATTATGTCTGGAATTGCATTTAACTTGTGTCCTATAATTACATCTTAACTGGTGCCACAATGGTAAAATGTCTGTCCTAAATATCCATCACTATATGATTCCCTAATTGTTTGTTGGCAAAATCAATGAAGTGCAGAAATGGAGGATCTTGCGGGTCGTCTTTGTTGGGAACTTGTGAAAAGGGAAGGGGGGATTGCGATTTGGAAAAAACCTTTGAATAACAGTTGTTATGTCAACCGCAGGCCAACTGCTACACCTTCATTATGTGGCACTGATGATGACCCAGATTATGTCTGGTAACTTGCCCTCTCTACTCAGATTTAGAACCTGTTTACTTCAATTTATTTCAGTCCTAGATAAGCCTTTAACATACCAGACCGTATCAACTTTGAATATTACAAAGTGGCAAAATATACTTCTGTTTTTTAATAGTTTCAACACGTCGATTTTTACACTATTCACCTACTCTATTTGACTACATTTTATTTATTAATGTATTAAAAAAGTTATACTACGTATTAAAAAAATATTACAAAATTTGTCTAGAAGTAAAACTTTTAAATATTATTTTTAAAAGTTTTTACTAATAGCCAATTAAATAGATTAAAGGTCAATGTCTTACATTGACAAACCAAACCTGAACAAATCAATTCAGAGCAGAACAAACCATTAAATTTCATTGCAGAAGTAGAGGTCCTAACTCTATACATTTGTTCTACCCATTAAAGTTTCTTCTCTTCTCTTTAATGAACCATTACAGTTTAAATTCTACAGATTTGTTCTTTCCGATACCTTGTCGTTTGCTTTATTAGTTCATTTCTAACTGTTAGTCATACAGTTAAAAATTGTTTCATGTTCAGCTAAATCATGTAATTCTGTTTATTTCAAGTTGGAAGAGGGCGGTGGATTGGCAAACTATTGCACAATTTACTTGTAGATGCTTGTACTCTTTTTCATCCTGACAAGATTTTAGAGCGTCCAAATATGTAATCCACTCAATCTGGTTTGGAAGAAGTTGACATGTTTTTTCTGTCTGCAGGTATGTGAATATGAAGACATGCATAACCCGTTTACCTGAAAATGGTTATGGTTCTAATGTGACTGAATGGCCTGCTCGCCTAAAGTACCCACCTGACAGACTTTTTAGCATAGAAATGGATGCTATTTTGTCTAGAAAGGAAATTTACAGAGCAGATACTAACTATATGAATGATCTTGCTCGTGGATACATTAATGCATTCCACTGGAAAACCCTGGTATTCAGAAACATTATGGACATGAAAGCTGGATATGGAGGGTAGGATTATTCCTTTTTCTATACAAAAATAGTTCAAAGAAAAAACTTATCAAGGGTAGATTTTTTGGGTTTTTTTGGCTCAACTTGGATTTTTTAGATTATGTTAAGGGTTTATTGTATTTTTTATTCCATTTAGCTGTATTTGCTTTCAATTCAGATTACTATGGTTTGTAAAAGAAAAATTACCAATATTAATCCAATTGCATATGGTTCGGTGTTGATTGGATTAGCTCTGCTAAACTGAACCAAAATGCCCACTCCTACATTTTTGAGTGAAATTGGTGACTGATTTTAGGATATAACTGGCAGATTTGGAGCAGCTTTAGTTGATAATGAGATAGATTGCTGGGTTATGAACGTGGTTCCTGTAAGCGGTCCTAATACACTGCCTGTTATTTATGACCGCGGCCTCATTGGTGTCTTGCATGATTGGTTAGTGTTCTATGCAGAATCACCTTTTTCGATTCAGATTTTAACCCCTCCCAATATACACTTTCATTTGAACTTGTACACTTGTAGGTGTGAGCCGTTCGACACATATCCAAGATCATATGATTTGCTGAATGCAAATGGTCTTTTCTCGGTAGAGAAGAACAGGTAATATTAGGAATATAATAAGGAAGCAAATGAACCAAACAATAGCATGCATTTGGAAAATATAGTACTTGTTTGATGTGAACATAGTAATCATAGGATGTAATAATTATGATAAATAATTGCATTTATGCAGTAAGCATCTCATACAGGCCAAATTAAAAAAATCCAAATCAACATATACGCTCTAGGATTACTTATCTTGTTGGGTTAGCCTTTTACAATCGAATCCTCAATGTTGAGTCTTGACTAGGTATAGTAACGATTAAGGTTCAGATGAGCAATCAACCTGATCATGGAGCAGAAACGGATATTGGAGTGTATGGATGAAAATGTAGAAGTACTTCTAAGTGCTCCAAATTACTCTTAGAAGTAGTTTTTGAGAAGTAGAATTTGATTTGATTCTACTTCTGCTTTTATAAAAGAAGAAGCAAAATCATTTCCAAACACCCTAAAATTTAAAAAATATAACACATATCTCAAAATTGATCTGATTTAACATGTTTAGCCATCCCATCCCATAGCATAAAGTACTTTAACTTTCCTAGAGCTCTACTGCTTGTATGAGATATGAATATTGGATTCCAATGGTATGTGTGTCTATGTCTATGTGCAGATGTAATATATCCAATATAGTGTTGGAAATGGACCGAATCCTACGACCCGGAGGCAGGGTATATATACGTGATCTTACGCCGACCATTGATGAAGTACAAGAGCTGACAGAGGCAGTGGGATGGGTGACATTCAGATACGATGACAGCGAAGGCCCCCATTCTAACTGGAAGCTCTTAACCTGTGAGAAACGTATGTAGCATCCCTTCATCTCTCTCCCCCTCGACCGCCAACTGCTGCTGCTACCTGACAATTTTCAACTCAGTCACTGTAACTAATGTCATCGCCCGTAAATGGCGAGTCAATTTCTGACCTGGAATTTGTACACCTGATCTTCTACTCCAATTAATTATTTATTAAAGTTGCACAAAGAAAAGCTTCCATGCGAATTGATCGATGCTACTTTAGTCCTCATAAGGATTTCCTGATTCCATTATACCATTCATATATAAAGTTCTTACACTAGCAGTCCAACCAAACTATTTCTAGTACTGTCACTCCGAATGAGCCTCTTACGGTCTTACCGAAGCATTCACCTCAATCAGTACACAGAGTGTATACTTTTATCTTAATTTCTTTAACATCCTTTTGTATACAGCTTTAATGCAAGTTTAACTGTTGTAATGTTTTGCTATATATTTGATTAAAGAGAAAACTGTCAAACATGTCATCGTGATATAATGAAAAGTCAATGGGGCGTATGTTAGTATTTGATAATTGATACCCGGAGTAATCGATAGGTGTTAATAGAAGGATGTTGTGACAAAAAATGTGTACTTTTTAGACTTTTGTGTCATCAAAACGAATGTAAATTATAATTATTAAAGTTAATATACTCTATTAATCGGTGAAAATAATAATAAGAGAGCGGTCGCCTGCATGTTGCAGCAGCATCCATTCTTTTCTCCTCCCAAATATTGAGAACCTATTTTGTTAACACTAAAATTGACTGAATAAATTGAATTGCGGGAAATTTATACTCACTCCATCCCACTAACAATGGAACAAGAGGCAGTGACACACAAATTAACAAAAAGTGTTTTATGTGGTTAATATTGAATTGATAAAGTAAGAATAAAGTAAGAATAATTTAGAGACACACAAACTTTGCCAAATTTGGTATGAGACACTCTTAGTGGGACGGACCGAAATGGTAAAACGGGACAATCTTAGTGAGACGGGGGTAGTATTTAAAATATACTCCGTATTATATAAATGTAATAAAGAAAAAATTATATGAAAGTAACTTCAGGCAGAAAAGTAACTTCAGTCATACTTATTTTTACTATTCACAATTCAGCGTGTGAAATCAAAAATTTATATGCTAAGAAAGTTAACTAATAAGGATAATAAGTTGAAGAATATGGTTACTAAACGGGCTCTTAATCATGTTTTCAATTCATATAGGGTCAAATAGGCCCTTGAACTATCTTTAAGTGTTCAATTAGCCCCTTATATAAGAGGTTCTGTCCGGCCATCGCCAATTGGGGTGGTTCCTGGTGGATTTTTTTGATGAAAGTTTTTGAACATCTTTTTCATTAAGTCTAGTTTACCCATACCAAATTTCAGCTAAAAATTCAACCGGGAAGGCAGTCAAATGATTTTTTGAAGATAACTGCGAAGTTAAACAACACAGTACATTTTGGAAAATCATTTGACTGCCTTCCCGGTTGAATTTATAGCTGGAATTTGGTATGGGTAAACTAGACTTAATGAAGAAGATGCTCACAAAAATTCATCAAAAATTCCACCGGGAACCGCCCCAATTAGCGACGGCCAGGCAGAACCTCCTATATAAGGGACTAATTGAACACTTTAAGTCAGTTCAAGGGTCTATTTGACCCTTTAGCCATTCATATAGCTTGTTCTTTCCTAGTAATGTTTAGAGATTGTGTTTTATTCCTCGATCTAATTAATGGGGTGGTGGAATTTTGTTAATGGTGGTTGGCAAGTCTTTTCTATATATTTTCTACATATTTTTCCTATGATGGTGCCATGGTGGCTTCGCGTATGAGGGAAATATAGTGCTCTATTTGATCTCTCTTTTATTGTCGGTTAACCCCTTGATCGTGACAATTTTACTATATACAAAAGGGGTGGCAAAAATGAATAGTGTTTCTGCCTAAAGAAACAATACTCGGATCCATGTACAATTACGTGGAGTAGTCCGCTTTTCCTTTTAATTTCAAATGAACAGTTCAAAAGATATGTGGGGCCCAGCCAAAATGAAACTCATTTTTTTAAATGCTATAAATATTGTATTTGTTCTCCAACTTTTACTAAAAATATATTCCCTCCGTCTCATTGGACTTTGCCAACTTTCCTTTTTTGATTGTTTAAAAAAATTTTGCCACTTTCCTATTAAAGCAATTAATTTGTGTTTCTGCACATTTCTCTCTCCTCTGCACAAATTTCAACCGCACAGTTTTTACTATTCTTATTTCTCACCTACTCTGCAATTGGCAAAGTCCACCGGGATAGAGGTAGTATCAAATTTTATACTACTTTCATTTTTATTTGATTCATATTATAAGTATTTATAATATTATAAGTATTTATAATATGAAAACGATATACATATATTCTTTGTTAAATATATTAATATAAACGTATAAATTTATGAATTTTGCAAAAATATACTCCCAAGTCTCATTTATCTATCTTATTTTCCTTTTTTGATTCTTCCAAAATAAGTGTTATATTTCTAGTTTTTGGAAAGAAATATGTGATTAGGGGAGAGCACGGGTCGGGTTCGGGCGGGTCGGGTTCTAAAATCGTAAACCCGTTCGGGTATCGGGGTTAAATTCTGTAACCCTACCCATAAATATTTAAGTGTAAAAATTTCGGATATTTTGAAGTTCGGTTGCTTTCGGGTATGGGCCGGATATCGGATATTTCGGATATCCAAAAAATATTACTTAACTACTAAAATTTAATTTCTTTTCACAACTGGTTGAGATTTATACAGGATAAACAGAAATTACACAATATAAGGGGATTTCCCAGACCCAGTTCATAAATTAACAGTTTTTATGAACATACAAGTTCATAACCTGATAAGTTGGCTAATGGCTAACCAAGTTTTAATGTTTAACAAGTAACACATAACAAAATATACAATCTGTACCACAGTACCAGATTACCAATTGTGCAATTGTACAAGTTTTTGACATGCAAAGTAATAAAAGCAAAAATACAAAAACACTTCGCAAGCAGCCAATCCCATTCAATTCCTTCTTGAGGTCTGCACTTCTTCATACTGCCTTCACACTTGAACCTATAAAAATACAAGTATGTCAAACATCTAAACAAATAGTATTGTTTAAAACAAGATTATCACACTGATGCATAAATATTGGCTCAGATTGCTTATTTTGAGTTCATATTTTGTATGGTGGCATATTATATCAAGTAAATGACGGCAACTATAGTTACCTAGCCATAACTTAACAGAACACCAACCCACGACAAATCAGTTTGTTGTGGAAGCTTCATCATAGCCAAGAAAATGATTGAAATGATAAAGGGAGAATAAACAGGTATAGATGTATTACCATTACACAGTTCACAAGGGGCATAGGCTCAGGTAGCTTATTTTCACATTCAAAATTTATATGGGGGCATACAGATTTGAAGTAAATGGCGGCAACTATAGTTACCTAGCCATCACTTAAAACAACACCAACCCATACAAAATCAGTTTATTGTGGAAGCTTCATCATAGCCATTAGCCCATCAATCAAGAAATGATTAAAGGAGAATAAGCTTGTGTTACCATTCATTATAACTTCACAAGGGGCAAATGGGCAATAAGCTTTTGTTACCAGTCTTAACTATGTTTACTGCTTCCATCATTCATGTACAATTCAGTGATTCACAATCAAATTTGCCAACAAAATCAGTCATATATAATGCTCAACAATAAATAAGTAAAAAAAGCAGTATTTTTACTGCAATAAGATCCTGCAAAGATCCACCAACATAGCCATCAGGACCACCAGTAACACTACCATCAATTAATTCTGCAAAAAAATTTAACAAATCAGCCTGTTTAATATCAAAGAAAACATATGAAGTACATAAAATGTAAAACAAAAATGAAGAAGTTTAAATTGACCTGTTTCCAGCCTTTGCACTTCATCTATATTTTCTTCAACTGAGATAGGGTGGCTTTGATTTCTTAGCCAATCTTGAGTACAGATTAAAGCTTCCACAATTTTTGGACTTAATGAACTTCTGAAACAGTCCAACACTCTACCACTAGTACTAAAAGTGGACTCAGAAGCAACAATAGAGATTGGAACAACAAGAATATCTCTAGCCATTTTTGAGAGGATAGGAAACCTCTCACTATTTAACTTCCACCACCTTAAGATGTCAAAATCTGTATCCTCTTCAATTATGGCCTCACTCAAGTACAGTTCCAACTCACTTTGTTTCAAACCCAACTGCCCATTCTCAAACTTCTGTTTTTTTAGCTGGGCTTTCAATTTGGAGATAGGTCTTGCAGACACAGTCTCTAATTGTGTTTGAGAGGGAGTTGAGCTTGAAATCATGCTTCCAGTACCAGAATCAGAGTAGTTGGACACATAATCATTATATAACTCATGCAAAGCAAGCTTGATACTTTCAAAGAACTTCATACCCTTTGGTTCTGTATAAAGGGCATTCAGTTGAAAAGGCATGTATTCAAACTTGTCCCTTGGGTCAAGCACATTTGCAAAAAAGATCAGAAAATTCATTTTCTCTGGGTCTCCCCAATATTTGTCCAGTTTGGATTTCATAGTAGAGCCCATTTTACTTGTGGAAGCCTTGGGAGACTTCATCATGTCTTGAAGCACAAGAAACAAATCAGAAATTTCAGAGAAGAAAGTATTGGAAGTAACATACAAAGAGCCAGAAATCCTTAGGGTCATTTCATAAAAACTTTCAAGAACTGACACTACGGATTCACAATTCACCCAATCACCAATATCAGGCACTTCTGTACCTAAATCAGACCCATAACAACTCTCATTCTCCTCATATGCTTCAAAAACTCTTTCATTGGATAATGCTGACTTTAACATCAGATAGGTGGAGTTCCACCTAGTAGGAACATCTAGGTGCAGGCCACATTTGGACTCTGCTCCTATCAAATCAGATATATCCTTGAATTTTTGGAGCCTAGAAGGAGAGTTCCTAACATACATCACTGCTTCCCTAACCCTCACTACAGATGTATCAGCATCCTTCAACCCATCTTGGACTGCCAGATTCAAGATGTGGGCAATACATCTCATGTGTAGGTATTTCACTCTGACAGGAGAAGCACCCCATGACAGAAATTTTTTCTTTAAAAATCCTATTGCAGTATCATTACTGCTAGCATTATCAACAGTCACAGAGAATATATTCTTCAATCCCCACTCTAATAAGCAATTTTCTAGGGCCTTGGCAAAGTACTCCCCTTTGTGGGAAGACACTTGCACAAATGAAATCACCTTCTTCTGTAGCTTCCACTGACTATCTATGAAATGGGCAGTAATACACATGTAGTTGATCCTTTGAATAGAGGTCCATGTGTCAGTGGTTATACTGACCCTTTTGGTGGTCTCTTTGAACAACCTTTTCAGGCTCAGCTTTTCATCTAGATATATTTGGTAAATGTCCCTAGCAATAGTCCACCTAGAAGGGACAACAAACCTTGGACATGCTACAGAGACAAACTTTCTAAACCCCTGCCTCTCAACAAACCTAAAAGAAAGCTCATCAATTATTAACATTTCTGCAAGAGCTCTCCTGATTAGGGTTTGGTCAAAGACCCAGGTTCCTATAACCCCAATAGTTTCTGGAGAGGTGGTTTGAGTATTAACAACTGGTTGGAAGGTTAATAAGGCTTGTCTTGTCTCTTTAGAGCGGGTGTTTTTCAGACAACTAAGTATGTGGTTTCTCAGAGAAGAAGTTCCATGCCTTTTAGACTCACAACAGTACACCTTAGCACAATATATGCATCTGCCCTTCACAAGGACTCCCTTGCTATCATACATTTTGTGAAAGTGTTCCCATATCTTGGATCTAGTTTCAACCTGTTTCCTCTTTTGTCCAACACCAGCAGTTGAAGCAATATTCTGAGTTTGAGCTTCCACATTCTCAGCTTCCACTGCAGGTTGTTGGGGTGGAGGAGGTTGAGCACCAGATACAGATATGTCTTGGGATTCCATCTATAAACCATTACATGAAACTTGGGGACCTTTTCTTAGCTTCCACAATCAGAATTCAGAAAGAAAAAGGAATCATTCTTTCATCATCATTCATTCATTATTCTTTGGGGCCACAATCACTCCTTTATGTACATAGTTATAATCATTTCAAATCATTCTCAGTCAAGGCAGCAATAGATATCAAGTCTGGAACAATCACCAAGGTGATTTACAGAATAGTATAAGCAGTAGGCTTAACTATTCTCTACAGACTTAGAAGAACCAGTCAACTCTAACTACTCAGCTTGAGTGTTTGAGTCAATCAGGTAACTTCTACATCAACAATAACCAACATTTAATAGGCAACATTCATACACACAACCTTACACAGCTTCCACTATGACAATTCAGAAAGAAGCAATTATTCTTTCATCATTAATCATTCATTCATCATTTCAAATCATTCTCAGTCAAGGCAGCCATAGATATCAAGTCTGGAACAATCACCAAGGTGATTTACAGAATAGTATAAGCAGTAGGCTTAACTATTCTCTACAGACTTAGAAGAACCAGTCCACTCTAACTACTCAGCTTGAGTGTTTGAGTCAATCAGGTAACTTCTACATCAACAATAACCAACATTTAATAGGCAACATTCATACACACAACCTTACACAGCTTCCACTATGACAATTTAGAAAGAAGCAATTATTCTTTCATCATTAATCATTCATTCATCATTTCAAATCATTCTCAGTCAAGGCAGCCATAGATATCAAGTCTGGAACAATCACCAAGGTGATTTACAGAATAGTATAAGCAGTAGGCTTAACTATTCTCTACAGACTTAGAAGAACCAGTCAACTCTAACTACTCAGCTTGAGTGTTTGAGTCAATCAGGTTGCTTCTACATCAACAATAACCAACATTTAATAGGCAACATTCATACACACAACCTTACACAGCTTCCACTATGACAATTCAGAAAGAAGCAATTATTCTTTCATCATTAATCATTCATTCATCATTTCAAATCATTCTCAGTCAAGGGAACCATAGAAATCAAGTCATACAAATGAAGTCTGGAAATCATTCATACACACAACCTTACACAACTTCTACAACAACAATAAGTCAATAACCAACATGTAATAGGCAACATTCATACACACAACCTCAAGCAAAGACATAACCATAATTTATACATAATTACAGTTTCGGACAGATATGCTAACAATACAGTTTCAACATCATATTTTACTTCCACACTTCAACATTCAAGGCTGCTCGAGTCACACAATAAACAACAACTCACAAGTCAGTAAGTCACAACCACAATTTACACACGTACTCTTCATCAAGCAGAGAATAGAAGTTATACCTCACGCGTGAGTGTGACTGATATGAGAGATTGGGAGACTGAGACAGAGGCACAGAGCTTAGGTTTACCAGAAGGTCCAACCGGAAAAGGGGCAATGCTTCCACAGTTCAACGTCCGATCAGATGACTTTAGGGTTTCCACTTCAAACCAAGAACTCAAGAAGCGTGTGAGAGTAAATGACGAACACACTCAGACCCTCATAGAGTCACCATCTCACAGCCGGAGTCCGGAGAGATGAAGTGGTCAAGAGAGGCGGAGAGATTTGGAACAGAGGGTGAGAGTAACCGAGTAAGGTCAGCGAAGAGAGTAGTCGGAGAATCAGAGTAGAGAGATAGAGAAGGAGGCGGAAATGGGTTAGGGTTTATTAGGGGAGTATATATATAAATATATATGGGCTGGGTACTGGGCTGGGGGTTCGGGTTTTCGGACGGGTCGGTTGGGCGAAACCCAAATCCTACCCGGCCCAATAATATCCAGGCTTTAGCCTGGCGGGTTTTCGGGTTTCCATTTCGGGTCGGTTGACCCTACCCGGTCGGGTAATATCCGAAATATCCGATCGGGTATTCGGGTTGGGTCGGTTTATGCTCAGCCCTATATGTGATCCATAACAGTTTACTTTATTATACACAAATCTCAACGATAGCTTTTATTTTTTCAATCATTTTATTAATAATTTAGTCAAACTAAAACAAAACACATAAAATGAGACTGAAGTGACTGCAAAATTGAAAGATGATACTCACTTCATCCCTCAAAACTTTGTCAAGTTTGATTGTCACGAGAAATTAAAAGTAAAAGTTTTGTGATTGAGATTTGTGGAGAGGAAAGAAATAACATGAAACACCAGTTCATTAATTAAAAAGAAAAGTGACAAAAATATGTTTTTTTATCGTCAAAGTGGCTTTAGATTAATAAAATAGCATTCAGCAGGGGTACATGATAACAAAAGAATCACATGTAACCATCCGCCCTTGGCTGAGACTCTGAGTTAATCACATTTGACAAAGCAATATAACTCGCTAGACCTAAATTGGGCAATATACAGATACAGTCAATGATGATTACCGTAGACCTCTCATTCCCCAAACCTAATGCAAGAGTCTTACAACATAAAATAAAATAACAACAAAACACAAACGTCTTAACCTGAAAATTAAAATGCAGAAAAGATAAATAAGCAAACTCCAAATCGCGTCGATCAAACCTTGGCGGTGGTTCTGGAGCGGGCCGTACCATCGGTACCACACCAATTGATTCTCCATTGACGATCAAAATCTGGAATATACGAAGCCTGTTCATTCCTCATTGTCCTGCTCGCATAGCAAAACTGCCACCAGTTGCTTTATCCTTCGTTGCCCAGCTGTTTGAATCGTCCATCTGCCTTCCCGCTTCGCCGAAGCAGATGACAGATCTCATCCAAAAACAAGGCTGACTAGGCCTTCGTCGCACACAACAAAACATCGCCGAGCCCAATCCTCCCTCTCGATGCTTTGCGTTGATCTCCCACTGACACCCTGAATCCAAGCCCAAACTATCCTGCAAAGCAAACAAAAACGAAGGAATCTGCCGAAGCCAACTCCTCGAAGAAAAGGCGCAAATTGCGCAAGAATCAAACCCTAAGCTCGGAGACGGCCGCATTTAACGAACTGATGCAATTCTCATTGACAGAAATATGTTTTTGGAATATCGAAAAAATGAAAGATGATAAAGTTAAAATAAAATAATTAAATACCTGGTACATTCATACATGCCTATTGCCTAGTAAGTGTGGAGAATATTCTCCCATTGGCACGTGGTCAACGGTTTGCGTATACAAGTACCTGAAAACCAAAGGCGCCTACAGAAATGCCACGACCGAGTTTCGAAAAAGACATAAAAGGGCATTCACCAATGTTCATGATCCTTTCCCGCGAGAAAAGGCGGTTATCAAAGAGAAGGGCTTTCCGGTCCAGCCACAATTGCGCATATTGTCCCCTTCCACAAGTCGCGAATGAGACGGGCCCTTTTATAGACCGACACTTGTCTGCATTCCATCAATATCTCCTTCTTCTCTGCTTCGCTCAAATTAGATTGTTTTCCACTTTTACCCGAAAGAAAGAAACAGAGAAACCGCCATGTCTTGCCCCACAGCTGGTCAGGTCATTCGCTGCAAAGGTTGATCCGATATGATATTTCATTTCCCTCTTTCTTTAATTACGGGGATTTTGTTTATGTCGGTTTCTTTCCGGCCATCATGGATTTGGGTTGATCTTGATTATTGAATATGATCATTACTGCTATGGGTTTTTCGATTTCACTGTAAATCACTAAATTGATGTACTGGTGTAATTTTATTTCCGGCCGTTGCAGCTGCCGTTGCATGGGAAGCCGGAAAACCTTTGGTGATAGAAGAAGTGGATGTGGCGACACCGCAGAAGATGGAAGTTCGCCTGAAGATTCTCTATACCTCCCTTTGCCACACCGATGTTTACTTTTGGGAAGCCAAGGTAAGTACAAAGTTGCTTGCTTTATCTGTTCGAATTCATCTGGAAGATAAAAAGAATTAAGATTTCTTCTATACTAAAAAAAATCTGGTGGACTGCGAAATGCGAATGATATACCAGAATCTCAGGAAGTGGTGGGTTTGAGGTGTTTTTTCATTTGTGCTACTTATAGTATCATGCTGTGAGTAAATAATTTTACAGTGGTAAATCATGATCGTAAAACTTGTAAAAGACTTCATTTTTAGACATGTGATTGAGAGTTCTATGGTTGAGTTTGGTAAACGTTATTCCAACAAGAAAAATTGATGCTTTACTGCAGGGTCAAACTCCTCTATTCCCTAGAATCTTTGGACATGAAGCTGGAGGGTATGATCTCCTGATTATGTTTTGCTAAAACTTTGCTTTGCTTATGTCAGTATCTCGGCAATATTGAATTAGTCTCCAGTTGGTAGCATGTTGATTATCAGCAGAGCAAGTATTTTTTGAATTCCAAACTGAACCTTAATCTTTCATTTTTTCTATTGAAAATGTGTAGGATAGTAGAGAGTATAGGGGAAGGTGTGACACACCTGCAACCAGGAGACCATGTTCTTCCAGTGTTCACAGGGGAGTGTGGGGAATGCAGACACTGTAAATCAGAAGAGAGCAACATGTGTGATCTTCTGCGGATCAACACAGACAGAGGGGTTATGATTGAAGATGGGAAGACGCGGTTCACTACTAAGGATGGGAAGCCCATTTATCACTTTGTGGGAACTTCCACCTTCAGTGAATACACTGTCGTCCACGCTGGGTGTGTTGCCAAGATCAACCCTCAGGCTCCTCTTGACAAAGTCTGTGTTCTCAGCTGTGGAATTTCCACAGGTTAGCTACAGATCATTCTTTTTTGAATGGAGATATTTACAATTTATTCAATATTTGTGTTGTTAGGTTGTTTTGTGTTATTTGTTATTTCAATTATAGATCAATTGTTTTTGCAATTGAATGTAATCACAATCAGTTTCTGTTTGAATATAGTTTCCTAGAAATAGAGTTAGAGATTAATTAATATTAAAACCCTTCAAAGAAGGACAAAATAAATCAGTTTAAAAATACCTGTAACTACAGATTTGCAACCTCGTAGAAGAAGCTGACACTTTGTGAAAAAATCTTTAAAAAAGTAGTATTTCCAAATATGATCAAGTTTTCAACAAGCTATTGGTTTTGTAGGCTGATTTTGATTTTACATGAATCTGCGTGTCGGTATCGAAATGCAGGACTAGGTGCTACACTGAATGTTGCAAAGCCACCAAAAGACTCATCAGTGGCCATTTTTGGATTGGGAGCAGTAGGGCTTGCTGTGAGTACTACACCTCACCTATCCTTTGTACTATTTCCCTACTTCCTTATTGATTTTCACCTATCTTTGAACAATATTATTAGGCTGCTGAAGGAGCTAGGTTGGCTGGGGCAGCCAGGATCATCGGTATTGATTTGAACCCCAATAGGTTTAAAGATGGTGAGTAGTTCAGCAGTAGTTCAGCAATATTCTAAATGGCTTCATAATACATTTAGAAGGGTATTTCTAATAACTACTTAAGGAGTTGATATAGCATTATGTGACTTGCAATATCATAAAGGCACTTAATAATGAGTTGATATAATAATATGTGACTTGCAATGTTCTAAAGACACTTCATAATGAGTTAATATAATGATATCAGACTTGCAACTATCTAAACAGGACTGGTTTATGCCTTAGTTGTATATATGTGGTCTTTGTTTTAATTGGTTTCTCATTTAAGCATTTATTATGGTTTTGAAAATGCACTGATGTATCTCTTCCTTAAATAAACACAAAAATCTTTTTAAGGTGCGTTTATTAAAGTATAGGGTTTCATTTTGAAAGGTTAAATTTATAGGAGTAGTTTGTTTATCTTTCATATACTGTTAGCTTGGATTGGTTAACGTTTTCCGCAAGATTGTGGTTTATTGGAGAGCACCAATCTAGAGTTTAGTGTGATTGGATGATTTCTTATCAGGATCAAAGTATAGGAGTGGTTTAGTGCCTTTATACATGAATTTGTATATTTATGTATAGGATGGTTTGACACCTATACAAACATCCTATGAGGATTAGGCTTAGCGCCTATGAGGATTCCTATCTTAGGTATGGCTAGGAATAGACTGATTTTATTGTTAGGTTGCATTACTTTTCATCTTCAAAGAAGAAGAAGAAGCTCATTGTGTTTTATTTTACTCCATGCACAGCAAAAAAGTTTGGAGTTACAGAGTTTGTGAATCCAAAAGAGCACAACAGGCCAGTTCAAGAGGTTACTTCCTTCTTTAGCCTTATTATAAGTTATGAGTACATAGTTGCCCTTCTCCAGAATTAAAGCAGTCTAATAAGAGAGGTGTGTGTATTATGGCAGGTGATTGCTGAGATGACAAACGGGGGCGTGGACCGGAGTGTGGAATGTACTGGGAATGTGAATGCTATGATCTCTGCTTTCGAATGTGTTCATGATGTATGTGTGTTAACTAAACCAAGTCTTTTTTGTTTAGTTCCATTGTTACCCCTTGTTTTTGTGAAGGGAATTGTATTGTTATATATGATGATCTCAAATGTCAATGGATGAATGGTTGTGAACAGGGATGGGGGGTTGCAGTGCTGGTAGGGGTGCCGAACAAAGACGACGCATTCAAAACTCACCCGATGAATCTACTGAACGAGAGGACGCTAAAGGGGACATTCTTTGGCAACTACAAGCCGAGAACCGACTTGCCTTCCGTCGTGGAGAAGTACATGAGCAAGGAGCTTGAGCTGGAGAAGTTCATCACCCATCAGATCCCCTTTTCTGAGATCAACAAGGCCTTTGATCTCATGCTCAAAGGTGAAGGCTTGAGGTGCATGATCAAGATGGACCACTGAGATCCTCTCTCCCTCTCAGTCTCTCACACACACTCACACTGTTTTGTAAGGAAATAAAAACTTTACCTTTATTGCAGTAGCATAGAGAAGACTGGTTCCAAACTATGCTATTGCTTTTGCTCTTGATTCTGTTTGTTGTGTTTTTGCTTTGCTTGGAGATTTTGTATTCTCCCTTCTCGATCTTTTGATATACGAAGAAATTGTATCACTCTTTAATCCAAGTTTTTTCGTTGTTTGGTTTCATACTTTCATCTTAGATGCCACTATTGCATCACTTATAATTATTGTATGTTTCCTCGCTGTCTGATTATATTTAGAAAAGCTTTAATACTTCCTTCTAATTTGGTTTTCCTTGCACAACCCTCAATCGAGAGCTGTATAGTTTGAACATGTCCAATAATATCACAAAGTAGAATCTGCGCAACTCCTCACAGGAAAAAATCCCAAAATTAGTTCCCACCCTTTCTGCATTTTCAGCCTCTTTTTCAGTGATAATCCTAATATGCATAAAAAGATTTTACTCCGTAATTATACTCCCTCCGTCACTACTACTAACATACCTATAAAAGTGTTACATTTTTCTCTAATGTAACACTTTTTAGACCTAATCTAACATTTTCTAGAAGTATAAATGTTACATTAGGGACTATAAAGTGTTACAATAGGTCAAATGCAACATGAGCAAATGTAATGATAAAAAAGTTTTACATTTTCTCTAATGTAACACTTTTCAGTGCTATTGTAACACTTTTGGGTGATACATTAGATGTTGAAATGTTGTAGTGCGTTTATGTTTCTGACGCATTTTGCTTTTTTAGAAGTATAGAACTGTAAAATATTTGCATGATTGAATTTTTACTTCTCAAAATCCTAATCTATCACACTTTATTCTTCAAGCCAGTAAACTCTCGAATTTACACAACTTAAATTTCAAGTTCTAATTTTAATCTAGATTTTATCTCCCTAAGAATTCATTTTTCCTATATGGTTTTTAATTAATCTACTTGCTTTGAAATGTACTGTTTTGCCTCTTATGGTTTGTTATATAATTTTAGGTTGAAAGATTAAAGGTATGGTTTATTGAACAAGTGCAAAATTGTTTGTTATACAATTTTAGGTTGTAAATTTTAAAATCAATTCGTTAGCGTTAAAATGTGATTTTTTCAAACAAATGAAAATGTGACAATTTCAGTTTGAGCTTCAGCCTTCAGATCGAGAATAATTTTTTTTTTTTCAAAAATGATTTTCATCTCTAATACACTTACGCCTATTTCTTAAGGCACATTAACAAATATTACTGATCATGTTATTGGGATTAAGTAAAAGTACCCCTTTTGATCACTAAACATGAAAAAAAACATTATTTAGGTCTTAGATGACGTGTATAAGAAATATAGGACGAGAGTCCTTTTGCTGAGATTTATGAATGAATCATTCAATCATGAAACTCCTCTTGTAGAAAAACTATGCGGAATAAACAATCTGTTTTTTCCCATCATTAGCCGAATACATCTGTGTACGTTATATACATGTTGAGGGCTAAGCTACGTACAAAACGATAAGTACAATTGTTCATGCGAAATATGTGGCTAGTCTAAAGAGATAAAACTTAGATAGTAAATAATAAAGACTCCTACCGGAGTAAAACACGTGCATACACCTAGAGTAAACTGCATGCATGCGTTGGGAAAATATGACCGAACACCCCCCCTCAAGATGGAGCGTGGAGGTCTCGAATGCCCATCTTGGAAAGTAAATATCCAAATTGACGCGCCCCAAGAGCCTTTGTAAAAAGATCAGCTAATTGCTCAGTAGTGGACCGATGAAGTAGTTTAATGGTGCTATTTCGGACATGATCACGCAAGAAGTGACAATCAATTTCAATGTGCTTGGTCCGTTCATGAAAGACAGGATTGGAAGCAATATGCAAAGCAGCTTGATTGTCACAAAAAAGAGGAATAGGGTGATCATGCGGTACATCTAACGAAGATAGTAAATTCTTAAGCCAGATGAGCTCACAAGTGAGAGCAGCCATGGAGCGGTACTCAGCTTCGGCTGAAGATCTAGAGACAGTAAGTTGTTTCTTCGTACGCCACGAGATGGGTGAATTGCCTAACATAACAAAGTAACCAGAAGTAGACCTGCGTGTAAGGGGACAACTAGCCCAGTCCGAGTCACAAAAGCCCACCAAGGATAGTAAGGAGTCGCTACGGAGTAAAATGCCTTGTCCAGGATGACCTTTAAGATATCTCAACACACGAACAACTGCTTCCCAGTGCGAGACATGTGGCTCCTGCATGAACTGGGATAAAATATGAACAGAATAACTGATATCTGGCCGCGTGAGAGTCAAATAAATTAGCTTCCCAACAAGGCGCCGATATCGATCAGGATCAGAAAAAAGTGGTCCTGTGTCACGTTGTAATTGATGGTTTTGCACCATAGGAAATGTCACCGGTTTGGCCCCACTCAGACCGGTTTCTTCCAAGATATCCAGTACATACTTGCGTTGGCTCAAAAAGATTCCACTAGAATTCCGCGCTACTTCAATTCCCAAAAAATACTTCATAAGCCCCAAATCTTTGATGGGAAAGAACGTGGCCAAGAATTGTTTGAAATGAACAATCATTTCATGACAATTGCCTGTAATAAGAAGATCGTCCACATAAACCAAAACACATAAAATATTATTAGCTCGACGCAAAGTAAATAGTGAGTAGTCGGCATAGGACTGCTGAAAGCCATATGAACGCAGGGCTGCTGTGAGTTTAGAAAACCAGCATCGGGGTGCCTGACGCAGACCATACAAAGAACGGATTAATTTACACACATGCCCTGAAGGAGCAGAATAGCCAGGTGGTGGGTGCATGTAAACTTCTTCGTCTAGATCGCCATGCAAGAAGGCGTTGTCCACGTCCATTTGATGTAACTCCCAATGGCGACATGCTGCCACCGCCATAATAGTGCGAACCGTCACCATCTTTGCCACGGGAGCAAAGGTCTCGTGATAATCAATACCCTGCACCTGTCTATTTCCACAAACCACTAAACGCGCCTTATATCTGTCAATACTCCCATCACTCTTGTATTTAATTTTAAACACCCACTTACAAAATATAGGCTTTTTCCCTGTTGGTAGTTTTTGAATTTGCCAAGTTCCATTCTGCTCTAATGCGGTAATTTCCCGCTGCATCGCCTCTCGCCAAAGTGGATCCTGAACTGCCTCTTTATAAGTGTTGGGTTCCTTAACAGTGGAAATAGCTGCAAGAAAAGCACGATACGGAACAGAAAAACGGTTATATGTTACATAATCAGATAGAGGATAAGGCTTACCAGAGGAGACCGAAGGAGAGGATAAAACGCCAGACGGAGTATTAATTTTCACGGTGTTCATCTGAATTTCGTAATCGGAATGCCAAACAGGTTTCTGCCTTGCTCGTTGTCCTCTCCTTGCCACGTCATTGAGTGTGGTATGTTCATGCGAAGCTATACTCTGCTGCCCAATCGCCGTTCCAGAAGGAGGATGTGAGTCAACCTCATCAGATTGACCGCCTATGTGTTCCTCTTCAGAATGATCACTCTCATGTATTACACGTGCACTTTCACTCCCTTGGCTGGCATTACTTCTACGCCCTTCATCCCATGAGGGATAATCATCCTTATCATCTGTATCTCCACCAATACGTGGCATGAAGTCATGCACCATATCGTCAATTTGTCTTCCTTTGTCTTATACGGAAATTGTGTTTCCACAAAATACACATCACGGGACACAAAATGCTGATTATTTTCCAAATCAAACATTTTCCACCCCTTTTGAGAATGAGCATACCCAAGAAAAACACACTTGACACCTCTTGCACCAAATTTGTCACGTACATGTGAAACATGCGCATAAGACAAGCACCCAAAAACCCTCAAATGTTCATACGTTGGCGCTTTCTTATACAACATTTCATAGGGACTCTTGTGTGCTAATAACGGGGTGGGTAACCGATTAATTAAGTAACCGGCCGCTAAAATACACTCACCCCAAAAGTCAAGTGGGAGGTTCGCATGAAAACGTAGGGTGCGGGCCATTTCTAAAATATGTCGATGCTTTCTTTCCACCCTTCCATTTTGTTGCGGAGAATACACACAAGATGTTTGATGAATTATACCATTGTCAAGAAAGTAATGTTTTAACTTCAAAAATTCTGTTCCATTATCGCTACGAACCACTTTTACATTTTTATCAAATTGACGTTTGGTCATAGCGCAAAATTGTTTGAGAATATTTGTCACTTCATCCTTAGTTTTCATCAAATGCACCCAAACCGCCCGTGAAAAATCATCAACCACAGTCAAAAAATAATGAGCACCACACGAAGAAGGTACCCGATAAGGACCCCATACATCACAATGTATTAACTCAAAAGGTTCCAATGCTCTACCATTATTAATTTGAAATACTTCACGAGTCTGCTTTCCTCTCAAACATGCATCACAAACTTCATTCAACTCAACAAAGGATCCAAATTTATTAGAACTAAAAACAGAACGCATTACTTTCAATGACGGGTGTCCTAACCGGGAGTGCCACAAATCACTTGACTCATGCTTCTTTATTTGGTGCGCAGCCACTGTATCAAATCCGTGAAAATAATATACTCCATCATGTCGTCTACCCGCTCCAATCAGCATCCGCGTAGGCAGGTCCTGTATCACACATAACTGATTAGTAAAATATACATCGCATTTCTGATCATCAATTAATCGTGCTATAGAGATAAGGTTACACTTCAGTCCGGGCACCAACAGGACCTTCTTAAGTGTAATATGTGAACTTAATTTCACATCTCCCATACTGGTTGCATGGGTAACATCTCCATTGGGCAGTATTACTGCCACCGGCGGCAATCTTTCTGTGTGCATCAACAATTGTGCACAGCTGGTCATATGGTACGAAGCACCGGAGTCCAAAAGCCATTGAATATTAGAAATCTTACCGGTTAAATTTTTAGTAGTAGTGATCATCTTACTTTTCTCCAAAAACTTGATGAGTCCTTGCCATTGCTCTTCTGTAAAGCCAGGCACTCGTCCATCACTCTTCCGGTCACCGGTCCTTTCATCACCAGATTCGATCACAGCATTAGCGAAGGCTTTTCCTCGTCCACGGCCTTGTACAGCACGTACCTTTCCCCCACTACTTTTTTCCGGATGTTCATACCACCAATTCGAACTTAATAAATAGTAAGGAGAAGACGAGTCATTAATCTTTCTCCTCCCCGGTTCAGTCTTCATACTTCGTCAATTGTATCCCGTTGGGATATAATGTTCAGATGTCGTCGATCAAGATCCA